TAATATTACCACAAGTGGTACACGATATGATAGCTACTCTAAACAAGAGAACCTACTTATCGATTGATGATGTAATGAAAGATTGTGTGTTGATAATATATGAAGCTTTAGTCAAAATATCAAATGGCCTGAACGAAAACAAAAGGCAAAAATGCCTTGGCACGGAACGTGTTAAGCATGGTCTGATGAAGCTAAATACTCGGCTTTGCACGTTCTATTCTGTCCCGTGTGGATGAAAATCTCTGCAGAGATTTCCACGTTGGAAAAGTCGTCGGCGTGTTATATGGCTTGATAGAATGCACACTTGACACGTATTTCTCAGCGAGAGCTTTGGAGAGGCACAACGACCACGGAGGATGAAAAACGCGTGTGAAAATGCACGGGAGGAAGTGTCGTTGAGATTCGAACGCGGCTACGAAACCTCCGATCAAAAGACTTGCATTTAAACCAACGTATCCTATTCTGCCTATCTGCATGACAAAGGGATTGCAAATTTTCTACGTGAAAGTGCTCCTCGTATCGAGAAATATCGGAGATGAAACTTTCGGACATACGAAAATCAGACTTCGCGTGGGAAATACATTTCATCGAAAGATCGCGGCAGGTTTCGAAAAGAAAAAGTCTTGACCAAACTTTGCAGAGGAAGTCAACAACCATAAAAACGAGCCAGCTTCTTTCACGTTCTCGCGATTAAAGACTTGCGTTGACGCATTCCGAACTTCGCGTCGCGATTTTCCGCACACTCATCGCGAATTTCTTCAAGGACTTGGCTAATCGACTAATCGTTGTTTCAACAGCATGTTTGAAATGTGTGGAGAAGAGATCCACGCGTACCAGCGATAGATAAGACTGTCGATGGCTTGGATACGATCTTTGGTGAAGAAAAATCTGTAAATAAAAGAAAAAAAAAATGTGCCTTATCACACGTGGTTCTGCCGTGCGATCTTGAACTGCTATCTCTGTAGAAAGCGACGATAAAAATCGTGTCACGACTGTTTTCTCCTGCAGGCACGTCAAGATACACGAATCGAAAATTCGTCACTTTTACTGCTCGAGAGTGAAACCTCTCAGGTGAAATCTCTTCTTTCCTCGTCGCGAGTATTTTTTTTTGGAATTTCGCGCGTTGAAGAGGCTGCACGCCAGCTTTCGTCACCTCTCGTCATCCTTTCTAACAATCGAGCGTGGTATTTTCTCCGGTCCGATTGCCACATTGTGATTAAGTAACCTCACGGAAACGTCGGGCGATTGGGAATCTGGCTTAGCGTGTGATGCTTTTCAAATTCAAGCTAGTTATTACGTTCCATCGTGCAACGGTTTTGAAAAACAGTTTTTTCAA